AAGAAGACTAGGCACTACATGTGACATGAGTCACAAAAGGTTTACTACAGAAGGCTGTACATGTGAATCCACAATTGGCAAGGTAGTACCAACAACCCTAAGGCGGCATTTGGATCTTGTTTGGGAGAATGGCTATATGCAGTATACCCAGAAGTGGTGAAAGAAGCAGTAAACATAGTAAGGGACTGTGGTAAAAGAATAGCTTTACTAAATATAAAACACCTCTGGCACAAAGAAACAAGGAAAACTAGCTAAAAAAAACTCTGAAAAGCATAGAAGCAAGTTATCCAGTGGTACAAAAATAAAGACAAGATAGGAAGTAATAGTTGCACAATCTATATGAAAGTCTATGATGAAATATGGCAGAAGCGCGGGTCCCAGGTTACTGGCTTGTGATAGTGATTAAATGAGGTACATAACTCCCATTCAAAAAATCTAGACTTCTGTAACACCATACCAATAGAGAGTACTATAAAAGAATTAGTAGCCAAATTTGATGATATACAACATGAATATCTGGATCGATGTGAAATATCATCCTAGTTTGGCAACTTAACTGTTTGAGATACGGCTAGGCCTATAAAGTAACTCCTTTAGGGACACCAAACTGGAGACACAAAGAGTACCCACTCAAAGAACACCAATTTGGAAGTAATACAAATACTGAATTAGGAGTAATGTAATAAGTGATAATAGATGAAAGTTGGTTAGTAGATATTGTACAGTAGTATATAAGCAGGATATATATAATAAAAATTAGGTTTGGAAACTATCCAGTGATTTAGTAACTGGTCTAGTTGCAGGGTAGTTATTAAGAAGATAAAATCTCATATAGATAGATACTAATTTAGTAACTAGGTGAGCTAATATCTTATAAAACATTAGAGAGTTGTAATTGTACATGTGATATTTGTAACCAAATACCTTAGTGTACTAATAAATAGTATTGGCAAGACTGCTGAATTTAAAAAAAAAAAAAAAAAAAAATATCCAATATTTTTTGTTCTTGTATTATAACTAATAGATTTTTCATTTGGCATTTTTATATATAAATTATATATGAACATGTAATTGATAGCTCTTCATAACAATAAGAATAATAGACTACAGTGTGATATAGAAGTGTATAGTAGGTTTCTAAGAAGTGTAGTAAATCATTGAACACACTTTTCAGATACAGTATTATATAGTATTGCATACAGTATCTAAAGTTTTATTCAAGAGCTTTATTTTTTAGATTGAGAAACCAGATACTAGATGTGAGAATATATATATATATTTATTTTTTTTTTAATTCTTTGACAGTCTTGCCAGTGCTTAATTTATTTAAAACTATATTTAGGTGAAAGTTAAACTCTCTCGAACAATACATTATCATTCATAACCATAAAAGGCGTCTAGCGATTGTGAGCCTGACATTACCTGGCTGCGATTAATGTGCCTACATGCGACTTGTTGCACCAACCTGTATACAAGTTAGATAAACTTTGTCAGTCCATTAAAGCTTTTCCCTTCATATTCTCTTTTTTTACTGAGAGCAAAAGAAAGTGATAATCTTATATCTAATACAAAACCACCAATAATATTAAGAAAACAAACCAAAAAAACTAACTAAAAATAAACAAATAGAACGAAAGGAAATTTTAAAGGAAACAATAAAAGAGGTACAATGAAATATAAAAAAAGAAAAACAAAGAGAAAAGCCCGAGAGCCAACAAAGGGGAAACTACCTCTATCAAGAAATAGTACAAATAGAAAGAAAAAGAAAAATATACTATTATAACCTGTGCCAGGTTTAAGAAAAAATTTTATAACAACTACAATATTTGTATATCTCGACTACAAAATCTAACAAATTATTATCTGACTACTGCCCACCTCCAGACGTCTTTAGAGATCCAATTCCAGTTATGCGGAGGTCCTGTATCTATAGACTACGTCGTATCATATATCCATCGATAAACAAGGCACGTGGTTGCATTCCTGGATACTTCTAAATTTGGGAGGTAAACAATGCCAATCTTTTGAAGAGTGTAAGCCAAATCGCTTACTTTTTGTTGAAAATTTTAGAGAAAAACCGGCCGAGCGAAAAACATTGCTTGCACCTAAGAAAAGTTGTTACATCCATATAAAACTTAACAATTTCTAAACCTTCTTCTAGGAAAGGGGTGGGGTATTTATGCTTTCTTGTTGGTGAGTGATAAACTCTGAGCTTGTCAGCAAGTAGTGTATGAGAACTACTTCTAAACAACAAGTGCTGTGCATGCAGTGAGTGATAAACTCTAAAGAAGTTAGCAGGTAGCATATAAGAACTACCTCTAAATAACAACTGCTGACTTATAGCGCTGCCCTCTATTTTTACTATACTCTATTGTTTTTTTACAAAAAAAATATATTTGGAATTTTGGTACAAGTAATCGTTGGAAAGAGTTGATTTTTTTAATTATTTTTATATGTTTTTTAAATTATTTTTATATATTTTTTAAATTATTTTTTTATATTTTTTATTTTTTTATACGTTTGATTTAGGGAATTGCTATTTGCACTATGGATTTTTGCTATTCACACCATGGTTTATGCAAATCATTTCAATTTTATCACAAAATTATTTTAAATACTTTAAACTTTGATCGAAGTTATTTTGGCAACCAATTGATCAAATTTGATAAAAATTTTTTTATTCAAATTTTGTAGTTCTGTAAAATTTGAATAAAAAATTTTATCAAATTTGATCAATTGGGTACTGAGATATCTTCAATCAAAGTTTGAGTAAAGTTTAAAAACATATATCATATAAAAGCTATGCTAAAATTGTTTACAAAGCTTTGATTGAAGATATCTCGGCAACCAATTGATCAAATTTGAAGAAAATTTTTTTATTCGAATTCTGTAGTTCTGTAGAATTTAAATAAAAAAATTTCAACAAATTTGATTGATTGGTTGTTGAGATATCTTCGATCAAAGTTTGAATAAAGTTTTAAAACATATATTATAAAAGCTGCGCCAAAATTGGTTACAAATCTTTGATCAAATATATTTTGGCAACCAATTGATCAAATTTGATGAAAATTTTTTTATTCGAATTCTGTGTTCTGTAGAATTTGAATAAAAAATTTTTTATCAAATTTGATCAATTGGGTACCGAGATATCTTTGATCAAAGTTTGAGTAAAGTTTTAAAATATATGTCATATAAAAGCTGCGCTGAAATTGTTTACAAATATTTAATCGAAGATATCTCAGCACCCAATTGATCAAATTAGATAAATTTTTTTTTATTTGAATTCTGTAGTTCTGTAGAATTCAAATAAAAAAAATTCATCAAATTTGATCAATTAGTTGCCAAGATATTTTCGATCAAAGTTTGCATAAAATAAACTATATATTATATTAAAGCTGTGCCAAAATTTGATACACAACTTTGATCGAAGATATCTCAACAACCAATCAATCAAATTCGATGAAAACTTTTTTATTTGAATTCTACAGAACTACAGAATTCAAATTAAAAAATTTTTATCAAATTTGATCAATTGGGTACCAAGATGTCATCGATCAAATATTTGTAAACAATTTTGATAAAATTTTTTTATTTGAATTCTACAGAAATACAAAATTCAAATAAAAAAATTTTCATCAAATTTGATCGATTGGTTGCCAAAATATATTTGATCAAAGATTTGTAACCAATTTTGATGCAGCTTCTATAATATATGTTTTAAAACTTTACTCAAACTTTGATTGAATATATCTCAGCAATCAATCAATCAAATTCGTTAAAACTTTTTTTATTTGAATTCTACAGAACTACAGAATTCAAATAAAAAAATTTCCATCAAATTTGATCAATTGGTTGCTGAGATAAATATCTTTGATCAAAGCTTTGTAAACAATTTCAGTGCAGCTTTTATGTAATATATATTTTTAAACCTTACTTAAACTTTGATCAAAGATATTTTAGTACCCAATCGATCAAATTCAATGAAATTTTTTTATTCGAATTCTACAGAACTACAGAATTTGAATAAAAAATTTTTATCAAATTTGATCAATTGGTTGCTAAGATAACTTCGATCAAAGTTTAAAGTGTTTAAAATAATTTTGTAATAAAATCGAAATGATTTGCATAAACCATGGTGTGAATAGCAATTCCCTTAATTTAATGTTTTAATTTTTTTTATATATTTTTTAAATTATTTTTTATATTTTTAATTATTTTTGTTTTTTTTATTAATTTTATTAATCTATTTTTTATATATTTTTAAATTATCTTTATATTATTTTTTAATTTTTTAATTTTTTACATATTTTTAAGGAATTTATAATTTATTGCACTATGCAATATATTGTACTGGTTATACAATATAGTCTATCTATTGCTATGATGTAAACAAATCACTGAGTTTGAATTCTAGATAAGAAAACAATGCATTTATTCTTTTACGATTACATATTGAATTTAAACCCAGATGTTTATTTACATCATCTCTATATAAATAGCATAAGCTATCTATTTTTTTCTCTTTTTGCTATTTATATACTCTTATCTTTTACTATTTATGTACTCTTATCTTTCGCTATTTACGTACTCTTATCTTTTTGTTGTTCTTTTTGTTGTTTACTAATTTACTACCAAATAGATCTATAAATTTTTCTTTTCATTGTTAATAATATACTAATACACACACTTATGTACTCTTTTCTTTTCATTGTTTACTACCTATAAAATTTTTCTTTGTTGTTAATAACATACTATTATGTACCCTTTTCTTTTTATTTTTTACCAACTTACTAACACATACACCTTTCTCTTTGTCGTACCCTTTTCTTTTCGTTGTTTACCAACTTATTAACATATACATCTATATATATCTTTCTCTTCGTCATTAATAACATACTAACACATACACTTATAATTTCTTCTCTTTGTCGCTTACTAAAATACTATTGCATTTATATGCCTCTTCTTTTGATAGTTTACTAAAATACGTACTTATATTCATGGAAGACAAAAATAACAAAAGAATTTCAATAAACCTATTTTATGAGATTACAAATAATGATAGTGATATAGATCTGTACTATGACAATATAAATATTGAGAACTTGTCTGAAAACAGTAAAATGTCAATTAAAAATGCTGAAGCCATCACACTAGAAAAAGACCAGTCATTTGATAATTTTGATCATAGTGAGAAACACAAAATTATGCAGAATATATGGGTTTCAAGATAGTAATGAGAAGAAGTATGGCAATTCAAACTACCGAAGATGAGAAAGTTATATGAAAAAGGGCAATTTATTGTTGTCATTTTGGTAGTTATCAACAAGTGAATCCTGAAAAGCCTGGAAAATCAATAAGAAATAGTTGTCAATGGAGTAGGGTGAAAAAAGGAGTTCTGGGACACTTTTTTGGTACATTTTATTCTTTTTGCTTTTTAGATCGCTCAAGAAGCCTATATTCTATAAAAAATTTTTACTACCTATATAAAAACCTGGGTACCAAAAATGATATAGCTAGAACTCACTATTTTTATATTTTATAATCAAATCAGATGATAACAAAAAATTAATCACATCGTCATATCTGATAACATATACTATTCATCTATATATAAATCAAAGTACCAAAAATTAAGTATCTATTTTCCTTTTATAATACTT